AGAGAGAGAGAGAGAGTGGACGAGAGAAAGAGAGAGATCTGTGTCACAAACAGATCTGAGATCTACCTCCGACGCCGACGCTTCCCCCTGTACACGATCGGACTACTTCCCTCTGACGTCGACTGCCTCCGACGCCAACTGTCTCTTCGTGAGTGTAGGAAACTCTGTCGCCCCGAAAATCAACTTTGTTCCTATTAGAACGAAGCCCACGTCGAGCTCTACATTTTTAACAAAGGGGCACAGGTGAGGAACTCGACGGATCTAGATGTATTTGTACAGAGAAATAGAGTTTTAGAGAGAGAGGGTGTAGATCTAAGGTTTTTAAAATGTTTAGAGAGTGTGTGAGAGGAAAAAGTGACTCAGAAAAGAGACTTTACAAATTGATATACGCACAGTTCGCTCAAGCTCAAGAAGTGTCGCTCGAGCGACCAAACACAACAAGTTGCATCGCTCGAGCACAAGAAGCTTCGTTCGAGCAAAATAAGTTTCCTTCGAGCGAAGAATACAAACTCCCAAAAGTTTTATAGGCAGAGAACCACTGCTAGAGCACAAGAAGGCTCGCTTGAGCGAACACCGCTTGAACGTAAGAAATACCGCTCGAGCGAAAAATGCCAACTCTCAGTATCTTTGCAGATCTGCAAAAGTATTAGAAGTTCACAAAGACTGCTTGAACACAAGAAGGGTCGCTCGAGTGAAGAAGCAAAATCCTATTTAGCAATAGTTTGAAAAATAAACTACCAACCTGTTCCAAACGCAACCAACACATCCCAATAACCAAACTCAAAGAGAAATAAGGAGAAACACGACATGAACAACTATACGAGAAAATAGAACCCGAATCCAAAACTTCAAATGAGTCGAGTCTAAACCAAAATTGCTATATTACTTTTTAAAAATCTTTATTTTGTTCACATATATATAAGAAATACGACTAAAGAATCCGGCACTGGTGAAGATGCCGAAAAATAAAGAGAGTGTGAAGTTTGCGTTCGGACTTCTAAAACCAAACAATGTGAATTTGTTCTCGATTCTGAAAGCCTAAACAATAATGACGAAAACAAACTGAATATTTGCTTTTATATAAATTTTAAAAAAAAACTCATAAATCAATAATTGTGCTTTGATAATTATGTAAATACTTACCTCCTTTATGATTGGTTGCTTCAAAAAACTATTTTGACTATTACTCTTATTTATTATTTGATTCTGTTCAAATTTTCTTTTATTTGCAAATAACAATATAATAAAAAAAATTAATGATATTGATGATAATGGTAAGTTTTGGTGAGGTGGATTGGAGTTTTGAAATGAAGAAGAAGAATAAGCAAAAATAATTTAAATTTGGAAACGAAGATGAAAATATTTGAATAAGAAAAATACGTATAATTGATTATAGTGTACCATGAGAGAAAAAATAATATTTTATTTTAAAGTTTGATATGTGTTGTCCTTATTATTAAATTCACATTAAGGTCTAATATAAATTAAAATTTTAAAATTTGAGTCAAGAGTACTGAAATATATTTTTGCTACAAATAGAATGGTTCCTATTTTTTTATAATTTGAAAAGATTGTTTTAGCCCGTAAAATTGGATTGGGCCACCATCTTCATCCTGCTATATTAATAGGTTAGGTTTGGGATTTACTTTGAATCTAATTCGGGTTTCATCTGGGAAATGAGTTGGCTTTTTAACTTTTTGGCTTTAGCCTAGGACTAAAAAGTTCGTTTGGGTTAGTTTTTTTTTTTGACTGTTGTGAGAGAAAAAGTAAAATCATTATGGTTTGGATGTGAAATTTTGTCTTATTGACTTTTAGCCTATTTTTATTTTTTTTGTAGCTATAAAAGCCACCAAACTCATTTTAGCCCATTGCCAAACGAGTAGGAATGGCAACGGGGCGGGGCGGGTCTGGGGATCACCCTCCCCGTCCCCGATCCCCGATTGTGAAAATCTCCCTGGCCCCGGCCCCGATCCCCGATACCATCCCCATCTCCGCCCTCTACCGGGGATCGGGTTTCCCCGACCTCGAAAATTCCCCGCGGCCCAAATCTGTTTCAACACCCCCATCATCAACAACAACAACAACAGAATCATCATCATCGACAACGTCAACCGAATCATCAACATCAACATCAACATATCAACAAAAATATCAACAGATTATAAACAAAAAATAAAAAAAATGGACAGATACACAAACAGATTAAAAAATAGACACAAACAGATCTGAGATTTGTGTTACAGAGAGAGAGAGAGAGAGTGGACGAGAGAAAGAGAGAGATCTGTGTCACAAACAGATCTGAGATCTGCCTCCGACGCCAACGCTTCCCCCTGTACACGATCGGACTGCTCCCCTCTGACGTCGACTGCCTCCGACGCCAACTGTCTCTTCGTTATCGCCTCCGACTCCGACTGTCCCTTCAATCTACTGAAAGAGAGAGAGGGAAGATAGAATAGAGAGAGACGAAGTGGAGAGAGAGAGGGGGTCGGGGCCAGAGAGAACGAGAGAGTTAAGAGAGAGAGTAGAGTCAGAAAGGGATTAGAGAGTGAGATCACAGATATATCATATATATATATGCATATAATATAAGGGGTTTATTATATATATACATATAAAGGGTATAAATGTAATTTTATTTCGGGAATACTCGGGGATGGGGCCGGGGACGGGGCCGGGCCGGGGCTTGAACACTGATCACCGTCCCCGGTCCGAAATAGATCGAGGATTGATTTTCAAATACCGTCTTCTCCCCGTCGGGGGTATTTTTCGGGAAAAAACCGCATAAATCGGGATCGGGATCGGGGATCCCCGCCGGGTCGGTTTTAAATTGCCATCCCTACAAACGAGGGCTCAGTCTGACTCGGTCGCTATTAAATAAATAAATTATTTATAATAATTTTTTTTGGATCAAAATTTTATCTTTATTGATTTTATTAAAACTCACATTTGTGGAAATGTTTGGTTGAATTTATTTAAAAAATCCTTCAATTTATAATGTTGTTAGTATATTTATTTAAGAAATGTAATGTGTGATTGAATTTAATTATGCAGTGTTTTAAAACTTTTTTTTAACATATAGCCTGATGGGTAAGCTTGGAATTTATAATTATTTTTTGAGTCAAGCTTGGACAGATGTAGATACCCGATATTAGGGTCGAGCTGAGTTTTGGCAGACACAAAATCCTTTTTATGTTGTGCTAGCCCCAGCCCGACAAATGATGCCAAATTGCCAATATTAAAATCTAGAAAGTAAAGGCACAGACACAGTGCAAAGCGAAAATAGTACCCGTGATCTAATGGATAATGCATCTGACTTCTAATTAGGCGATTGTGGATTCGAGATGTAGGGTTGTGATGTTAGGTGCACTTTTTTCTTAAAAAAAAATATAAATATAAATATAAATTATTTTTATTTTTTAAAATTATTATTATTCAAACAATTAATTATTTTTTTTCTCTGGTCCCTCTCTCACATTCTATATATCACTAAAAAAAATTACATATCATTTCAAAATTATTTTTAAAACTTACAACCAAATAAATTTAAATTTTATCATTTTAAATCATAATTCAAAAACTTAAAACTAAAATACAATTCCACAATCAAATTATAATTTTAAAACTAAACCATTCCATAATTTTTTCGGTTTCACTCTTCTTTCAAAACGACGACGTTCTGATCATCCCCGTTTTCAACAATTTAGGAGTGCCGCACTTGACTAGTTTGGTTTGGACCGAGGAGAAGGTCACAGGCTGTGTGATTCATTCTCTCCAGCAAATCCTCAAATTGGATCACCCCCATCATCGTCTGAGTGAGAGAGAGAGAGAGAGAGAGAGAGAGAGAGTTGAAGAATGGAAGCAGTAGAGGTGTTTGGGGAGAAGGATTTCTTGGCATGCTGTGGGAGCACTAGATTCGCCAAAGAGATGGCCTCTGCTGCTCCTTTCGCCTCTCTCCAGGAAGCTGTCGATGCCGCTACAGATATATGGTTCAACAAGGTCCCTCTTTTCCTCTCTCTCTCTCTCTCTCTATATATATATATAATACACCCTGTTTCTCTCTCTAAAAATAGTCTTCCTTTGATCCGAAGGTTGATATCAATGGCTGGCTCGAAGCATTCGCTGCTCATCCTCAGATCGGTCAATCTCCCTCTTCTCACCACAAAAGCCCCACCAGTGCACAGTTCAGAGCGCTCTCTCTCTCTCTCTATATATATATATATTTATGTCATTGAATGCTTGAATTATCTCACTCTTTTCTCTGATTATCTGCATTATTGAATACACACTGATATGCAGAGGCACTTATGCGGTGTTTGGTTGGGGGATTTGAGGATGGATTTGGAAAAGGAAATGGAAAAAATAGGCGAAACACATTTCACTTACTTTCACACATCTTTTTCCCTTATCTTTTTCCCTTTTTTTTTTCAAATCCTTCCCCAAATTCCCAACCAAACACAGCGTTGTCAAGTTTCGATGGATGTCAATTTCAAATCAACGGATTGGAGGATAAAAATATTGGAGAAATAACTATTATGGATGGATAAAAACACTATAGAAGAAGATAAGTTGAGATAGAGGATATGCATTTTAGTATGATCCTTAAAGCTAGAATAGGATCCTTAGCATGATTTCGAAGTTGGAAATTCTATGATACACATATGCCTCACTTATGACTTTTGTGGTATTTGTTTATGATATATTGTGGTATTAGTTATGACTTATTATGGTGTTTGTTATGACTCAGTGTGATGTTGGTTCTGATATTATTTTGGTTATGATTTAAAAGGTTTTTGGTTATACTTTTGTGGTGTTTGGTTATGACTTTTAAAAATATATATATAATTATGACTTAAAAGCATCTACTTATGACATTTGTGGTAATCAACACCACAAATGTAATCACTTGCATTGCATGGCCTTTTCAAGTAACTACTTTTGTATAGTTATTTCAAATTTATCATGATAAAACTATTTAATTCAATTTCCAAATTCACAGGTAAACTATCAAATTTAAATTTGAGGTATTCTCCTTCAATGATTAATGTCAAACCTATGCATTTCAAGTCCACACCAATCTGTTGGGAAAAATGGAGGATTTCACAGAAGTGAAAAATAAATAATGCAGCAAATGAATTACAAATATTCAAAGCAACCAAGAACGAAGGCAGGTGCAAAATTTTAAGTGGTTCCCTTGAGATATTTCTATGGGATTGATGACGCACTATCACCAAATGAGTATAGAAATGGATTACAAGAGACACAAGGTCTCACAAACACCCCTTTAGATGAATTCCAATAAACCACAATAAACAAGAGGAAAAGCCTTGCCAAAATGACATCACAAAAGTAACTTCCAAAACCAAGCTGTAGAAGGCACCAAACCTGAGTAATAGATATCCAGCCGCAAAATCAGTAGGATAAACTGCTCTAAAACGGACACAAAACTAGCACAGCAAAAGGTCTTCACATGGCGAAAGTGTGGACTGAATACCATGCTCTCCGGCACCCAAAGTCACTAATATTTTTACCACTGAAACGGCCAATATTTCACCTTCTAGACTTCCAAAAGTTATTTTGTACCTGTATTGCTTGCTTGAATTTTTGTTACTTAGAATTCAACATTAACTATTGTTGAGGAATTTATAAAACTAAAGATTGAGGTAACAATAATTGAAATGCAGTAAACTTACAAAGGAAAGAGTTTTTGTTTGAGCAGGATGCAATTCTTATTAATCAGTTTTTGAACTTCAGCCTTCAGGAGGCTCACAGCTACATCTCAATTGGACTAATGTGTGAGTTTTGCTGCTATAATCTCCCTTGATCTGGTTGGGCTTCTTTAGTATCTCCTTTTCTTCCCTTGTTTGTCTTCCTATGGGTGCTTGTATTACCTTTTGGGTCTCCTTTGCAAATGGGAAAAGTTTTAGAGGTAAAGAAATATGAAAAATCTTGGGATTTGTGTTGTTGCACCTCTTATTTACTGTCTTTCATCGAAATAGTAGTGGCTAAGAGGCACTAACACTTCTAAGAAGGTAACGTACAGTGTCGGACACTAGATCGATTCTCCTCCTTTAGACTTTAAAATTTATTATCTTTTTTATGACATAATTATTATTTTTCCTTATACATGACTTGTAATAAATATATGAAAATATGTATTTTGCATATGACCCTTGTGAGAATATTATGTTAATTATGTAAATATATTAGATTGATTGTGTGAATATTAGGTTTATTTTTATTTCCTATTTTAGATTAGGTCTAGGATTGCTATATATATCTGTTGTATTCCTTGTATGTACATATTCATTCAGAAAACTTACATGGTATTAGAGTAAGGTTCAAGCCCTAGCCTCCCTTATCAAGTCTTTTTTGGTTCGATTGAGTTCTTTGGTTCTGCTTTTCGAATTTGTGCAACCCATCTGAGCTTGAATCGCGACCTATCAAGTTGCAAATAATCTGAGTTCAAATCACACTCCCCATATTACAATTCTCTGGTTCGTCTGCATCAACCGTCTCTTTGGTTTGTCTGGTCGTTCAGTCGCCTTTAGTCATTTGCTTCGACCCTCTCTTGTTCATTGTTCATCCTGGACCTTGCGACATATCTCTTTTTCTCTTGTCCATTGCTAGTTGCTTTTGACATGGTTGGGTTCGTCATCTGTTCGTTATTGCTGATCTTTGATCATTGGTTCCATTTGTAGTTCATCGTCTGCGCAGTCGCCTCTCACACCAAAGGGTTTGACCAAAGTGACTCGCCTCTTCTCTCTGTTCGACCCATCTGGGTGTCTCTGTGTTTCAACCCATCAAGATCTCTGTTTCACTATTTTGGAACTTGATTAAGGTTTGATCGTATCTGACCCACTGTGTATATCTGTCCCATTTGGTACTGTTTTTAGATTATTACAATTTGACCTATCAATTCAATAAACTTTGTTTTATTAGAATGTCGGACACCAAAATCCAAGCTATCAGATGCAAACTCCCTGGTGCCAATTATGTTTATTGGGCCAGTGATATGAAGAATTTTCTTCTTGGTCAGAAAAAATGGGGTTATGTTTCTGGTTCTGTTCCTTGTCCATTGGACTTGACGGAGGAAGGATATCTAACTTCCTGTGATACTTGGGATTGTGATAATACCTAAGTTCTGATCTGGTTTCATAATTTTGTGGATAACCGTATTGAAATGATGTTTTCCAAATACAATATTGCCAAGGAGGTGTGGGATTATTTACTGAATATTTATCAGCAGTCTAACTTTGCCAAGCGATATAAGTTGGAAACAGTTGTTCAAGGTGCTTGTTAGCTGGATTAGACTATTCAGAATTTCAATATTGAGATGACTGGTCTTTAGGTTCAGTTGGTTCTCATGGAACCACCTAGCCTCAAGGTATTAGACGCTTATATTGAGTTTCGGAAGCAAGGTCATTTAGTACAGTTCTTAACGGCTCTCTCTCCCTCAGTATGAGGTTATTCATGGTGGTATCCTTCACCGGTCTCCTCTTCCCTTTATGGATGCTATTGTTCGTGAGCTTCTCTCTAAGGGAACCCGTTTTAAGACAGCCAGTCAGACTTTGCCTCCCTTTGTCTTCTTGGCTTCTGTTAAGCCTCCTTTATTATTGACCCTACCTCCTCATCAGCTTCAGGCCACTGCGAAGTCCAAGAAGGGGCCATTAGGTCCAGATGAGTGCGCTTTCTGCCACCAGAAGGGTCATTGGAAGTACAACTATCCCAAGAAGGGACGTCAGCCTGCTCCATCTCCTCAGACACAGTTTCGCGGTCCTGCTCCGAGTACTTTCTAGCTTCCTGCCACTTATACTACATCTGCTCCGGATCCAGATCCTGACTTGGCTTTCTTAAGTACTCAAATTGCTCAACTTTAACATATCTTGTCCAGCTCTCAGCCATCCCCATTTGCATCCGATCTTACATCTCTTCATTCAAGTTTGTTTAGGTCCTCTTCAGATATCCCTTATTCTGTCAAGCTTTTTGATTCTGGTGCCTTTCATCATATGACTCTTTACCTTTCCTTACTTAAAAATTGTATTCCCCCTCCCATTCCTATTACTATTAATACTGCTAATGGGTTTGGTATGTCTATTCTATTTATTGGGTCTGTCTTACTCTCTGCTATGTCTGCTGTTACTATTCGCTTTGTTCTTTATGTTTCTCAGCTATCTGTCAATTTATTATCTATCAATCAACTTGTTGCTTCTGGTTTTGATGTTATCTTTTCCTCTTTTGTCTGTTGTGTGCGGGAACGGGTGTCCAAGAAGTAGATTGGGATCGACCGTCGAGTTGGAGATCTCTATGTAGTAGAAAGCTTGCATCTTCCTCTATCCACCTCTCCAGTTGCACTTTTCTTGTTTCAGTTAGATTCTCAGTCGAGTCAGTTTTATTTATGGCATTCTCGCCTAGGTCATTTGTTTGTTGACCGCTTACGGTTTTTAGCTCAGTCAGGATTGTTGGGTAAAGTTTCTCTTAATCAAATTGATGAATGTCGAGGGTGTCAACTTGTCAAAATGTTAGTTTTACAATTTAATAAAAGTATTATCTCTGTTTTTTCATTTTCTCTTGTGCATTCTGATGTCTGGGGATCCTCTCCTATTCTCATTAAAGGGGGTTCTGCATACTATGTGTCTTTTGTTGATGATTGCAGCCGTTATACTTGGGTTTATCTTATGGTTCATAAATTTGACTTCTGCTAAATGTATCATACCTTTCAGACTATGATCATTACACAGTTTGGGTCTACCATTAAATTGTTACGGTCTGACTTAGGTGGGGAATATTTTAAAACTGAGTTCTATGAGTATCTGGCCAATTTGGGTACCATTCATCAAACAACCTGTACTAATACACCCTCTCAAAATGGTCGTGCTAACCATAAACACTATCTTTTCTTTGAGACAGCTAGGTCTCTCCTCCTTTCTGTCTCTGTTTTAGCTCTCTTTTGGGGTGAAACAGTTCTTACAGTTGCTTTTCTTCTCAACCGTTTGCCTACCTCCCTACTCTCGGGTCATTCTCCTTATGAGATTCTATTTTCCCAACTTCCCAATTTTCTCTCCTTTGTGTTTTTGGGTTTGTATGTTTGGTCCTTCTCCAAGAAGATAGGACAAAACTCAGTGCCCAGTTTGTCTTGTGTGTTTTTTTGGGTTATAATCTTACTCAGAAAGGCTATCGCTG